GCCGCGAGCAGTGCCGTGCTGTGTGCCCAAGGGAGGGCTGAGCCCCACAGAGCTGCTCTGGGGCTGTGAGACAGGAGCCGGGGTGTGAGCAGCGGGGCTTGCTCCAGGCTCACCCAGCCAGCACCTGGATTGTCTAATAAAGTGTGAAATTGCTTTCATGCTCTGCTGCATTTGCAGAGACAGACCATCATTGCGGTCCCCTCGCCACGTCCCTGCTGCCAGCCAGCCGAGCCTCTGGCTGGAGCTGTGCCTGGCATATGCCTGTGGGACCCCTGTGCCAGGCGCTGCCAGGCGGGACCCGCCGTCCTGGGAACGAGCACCCCCCCTCCCCTGCTCCTCAGCCCTTCCGTCGTGCCTGCCCCATGTAACAGCACAGGCTGCTGCGGGTGCATTGCCATGGATGGGGTAAATCTCTGCCATGGGGCTGCAGCATCTCTTCCTCCCCCTGGTCAGATGCCCTGGGTGTGCAGGAGCCAGCTCAGGTCCGACCCATATCCTGGGGCAGTGCCGCTGCCAAGGCCCTGCCCTTCCCTGGAAGGGCTGGTGGGCAGCATGCCCATCAGATACAGCCTGCAAGGAGATAGGGCTCCCTACAGCTGTGCCAGGAGTGCCAGGGGCCACCTCAGACCCTCGCTGGGGTGGTGGAGGACTCCCACCTTGGCAGGGACAGAGGGGCAGCCGGGGGTAACCGTTTGTTCCTGAGCTGCATGGATGTGCACAGAAACCATTCTCCAGCCTTAATAACGACAATCAATCATCCTGCTTTGGGCAGAGGTTCTGGAAGGCTTTCCAGGGCTGGGGAGCCGGCGGGGCTGTCGGAGGGACTGTGGTGCCAGTGGGGAGCCTCTCCTCGAGGGGACACGAGCTTTCTGCTCTGGCGATGGCTCTTCACCTGCGTTGCCCGCCAGGAGGGCAGTCTGTGCCCAGGTACACCCTGCACGGGGAAGTGCCAGATCCTCAGCACTGGCACTGTGCCGGTGTGCCTGGGGCTGTGCAGTCTGTGATTTTGGAAGATGGGAGCCCAGGCCATGCACGAGGTATAGTGTGCTCCCTGCTCCAAAGGGTCCTGGAGGTTCCCTGCCAAAGGGCTGGACACGAGCACTGGGACGCTGCTGAGTGGGGCCCAGGAAAAGGAGCTGCGTCTGGGATTTCTGCAGGGATCAGAATACTTTGCCCCAAGGTAAAGGCACCCAATGGTGCCACGTTTTTCCAGCTACTGATAAAGTTAAACCCTTGATCTTAAAGATTTAGCCCACAAGGCAAGCCCTGCTAGGCCAACAATGCTGTTGGCGCTGCTGACGTGGGGATATTTGCCCAGGCAGAGGGGACTAAGCCCGCTGTCCTCCTGCCTGCGGCTCAGTCCTGCTGCCAGAGCACACCCCTGCAGCTGGACCCCACCATCCCTGGGCCTCATCCAGGCCCGTGCACAGGGGATGGAGGTGCAGCATCCCCGGGCGAGGGGCTGAGGCCAGGCAGGCAGCTGGCATGCAGCTGGAGAGGTGAGCGGCCTGCTGGGAGCTGCTCTTTCTTTGGTGTCACCTTATAATTTGTGACCCCCCTGCCCCCGCACCCCCCGGCCCTGGCCACAGCTTGGCCCAGTGCCACTGGCTGGGGGGAGGCTTCATGCCCCTGAGAAGATGGCCTGGCCCTGACGTGACATGAGTCAGCAGCTAGGCAATGCTCCCCACCACGAATAGC